GAGTCACTGGTGTATAAGCAGCAGTTTGGTTTGCTGGAAGGGAGTCACTGGTGTATAAGCAGCAGTTTGGTTTGCTGGAAGGGAGTCACTGGTGTATAAGCAGCAGTTTGGTTTGCTGGAAGGGAGTCACTGGTGTATAAGCAGCAGTTTGGTTTGCTGGAAGGGAGTCACTGGTGTATAAGCAGCAGTTTTGGTTTGCTGGAAGGGAGTCACTGGTGTATAAGCAGCAGTTTGGTTTGCTGGAAGGGAGTCACTGGTGTATAAGCAGCAGTTTGGTTTGCTGGAAGGGAGTCACTGGTGTATAAGCAGCAGTTTGGTTTGCTGGAAGGGAGTCACTGGTGTATAAGCAGCAGTTTGGTTTGCTGGAAGGGAGTCACTGGTGTATAAGCAGCAGTTTGGTTTGCTGGAAGGGAGTCACTGGTGTATAAGCAGCAGTTTGGTTTGCTGGAAGGGAGTCACTGGTGTATAAGCAGCAGTTTGGTTTGCTGGAAGGGAGTCACTGGTGTATAAGCAGCAGTTTGGTTTGCTGGAAGGGAGTCACTGGTGTATAAGCAGCAGTTTTGGTTTGCTGGAAGGGAGTCACTGGTGTATAAGCAGCAGTTTGGTTTGCTGGAAGGGAGTCACTGGTGTATAAGCAGCAGTTTGGTTTGCTGGAAGGGAGTCACTGGTGTATAAGCAGCAGTTTGGTTTGCTGGAAGGGAGTCACTGGTGTATAAGCAGCAGTTTGGTTTGCTGGAAGGGAGTCACTGGTGTATAAGCAGCAGTTTGGTTTGCTGGAAGGGAGTCACTGGTGTATAAGCAGCAGTTTGGTTTGCTGGAAGGGAGTCACTGGTGTATAAGCAGTGGAGCTTACTGCTAGGCGACAGCATTTACTTTGTAACGGCTCTCTTTAAGTAAGTTTTTTAACAGCCGTGGTCTAGTGGGAAAACGCTCGCCTGCGGACCGGAAGGTTGTGGGTTTGTGTCCTAACAGGGGCCAGACTTTTTTCAAAAATGACTTTGGCTCCCAGCCTTGAGTTGGTAGTCCTGGGAAGTAAAGGTGGCCGGCTCGATACTGACCACATCACCTACCAAGTGTTGTTTGGTCTATAAAATATAGGTCTAGCCCTATATACCTAATATGCCCGAAGGCAAGAAAAAAAGGTTCCTTGACATAACGCAGAAAAACAACATCTGTAGTGCTGAGTGTGGATTCATTTTCAAGGTGATACCTAACAGAAGCTTGGCCATGAAAGGTGATGAATGCAAGAGCACAGAACGTTCCAAAAAACGTTTCACAGTTATGCTTTGCACTAGCTTAGTCAGAGAGAAATAGAAGCCGCTGGTGAGTGATACATCCTCAAACCTACTGGTGTTCAGGAAAGCTGAAGCCCAAAGACCTCCCGCATTAACTGGAAAGCAAACAAATGCACATGATGCCTGGCACTTTGAGGAACAGGTACTGGTCATCAGTCATCAACTGAGTACATATTACAGCAATAATTGATTGTAATGAGTAAGGTACGCCTACAGGAGAACTGGGCACATAGGGCTAGACCCATAATTTATATACCAATTTGCACAAAATTAAACAACCAAATAAATACTATCGTCTGTGTCTTCTTTGCTCAAACTAACAATATAGTGACATTGGAAAGATATATTAGACACAATATTCATCTTTTATTTTGGAAAATAACCATTACATGTTTTTCTACTACCACAAGTACTACTGGGAGTCGCCGTGAGAGCGGCTAGACGCGCGCCGCGGATCGGAAGGTCGTGGGTTCACTCCCGGGCGGAGCCGGACTTTTCCTAAAAAATGACCATGGCTCCCAAGTCGACCCCGCCTTGAGTGGGTATCGGGTGCAGTCCCGGGAAAGTGAAGGCGGCCGGCGTGATGCTGACCACGTCACCCATCTTGTGCCATTGGTCTATTAAAATATAGGTCTAGCCCTATATGCCTAAAGGCGTGGAAAGGGTCCATTACTTTTACTTTACTTGCAAGTACCACCAATGGCAGTGTCTCCCCCCAGATATAAGTGAAGCAAAACATAACACAAAAGGCAGATTTCTGTGACGCTTTATTTCAAAGATGCAGACTGGGTGATGGATGTTACAGTAATAGTTTGAAAACAAGCATGGAGATGATGACCACACAAAATATACTCAATAAATATCAGATGCCCCCCTCCCTCCCACAGTAAGTATAAAACAGAGAACACAAGGTTACACTACACATTCAAATAATGGATTACTTTTAAATACTGTTGAATAGGGTTTCTGTCATTTTCTGCTTTTCGCTCCACAACAGAAAAATTGCTGCTTCTGTCGTTGACAGAGAACAAATTTAATTGAAAAAAAAAATGTCAACTGAAGTGTGATCAAATGCTAGAAAGAATTAATTAAAAACTATACATGATGTAAACAGATATATATAATTTTCATTTGTATCTCTTCTTGCTGAAACTAGCAGCTATTTATAAATTAAACAGGTAAATATATTCTCTCATGAGCTGGTACTACTACTGCAGTGTGCAAGTTAGTTGGGCTCTCAAGTTTTTCAAAGCCATGATGTATAAAGTAGAAATTGCACTTCATCATCATCTTTCCTTTTCACACAGTCCTGCTGCCATAAATGAAAGAAGACTACTGATACATTTTTAATACCTCATATGAAAACAATGTCTTTCTTTCTTTCAATAAAACCATATTAAAAATAACTAGGTTCTGTCCTCAAGCAACTGGTAATTGCCTTCACTCAATAACAGAGGGTCCCATCAATGATACAATGTTCAAATCACTACTGGAGAACATGATTTATTCAGAACAAAAGAGGGAGAGGCAAGGATGGGAGCAAATTTGAAGTTTTACAAATGTAAGAAGAAATAAGATAGTACTAAATTAATAGTTCATTTAAAATGTATCCATCTCCCTCATGAAGGCTGGCTACGACTGCACACACTGCTCTCTACAGAAATAGCATATAATGAGACCCAACCTCTTCCATGATGCAACTGTATGAATGCTTCTTTAAAAAAAATACACATAAATAAACCAGTGACTTTTTAACTCTTTTAGTCCCAAATGTATGATGTATGATTAGGTTTTCTGTGAATCCCACCCAACATGTAGTATGTTCTCATATTATTATTTTTTTAACATATGAAGAAAATCTGGCTTGCACAGTATTAAATTGTTTGAAAGTAAAATACTCATGATTTGTCCTAGCAGTTATTTATACATATGAGAATCTACTAGAAGAGATAAGTTAAAAAAAAAAACTACCGAGCTAAGACATGCCTTACAAATTAGAAGTGCAATCCTTTCTACCTAAAAAAAAAAAAAAGCCTTCAATGATAAAATGTTTGAGAAAATTACATATTCAGAGAAAATAGGATTACCATTTGTTGAATGTAAAAAAAAAAAAAGAATAAACACATATTTATAAACAAAGTTCTGGTGACTATACAAGCTCCTGCTTTTGCTGAATCATGTCTGGGCAACACCTGGAAACAAGATAAGATCTTTGCTGAATTCTTTCTGTCCAAGACAGGTAATACAAAATGATTGCCAGGATTATAAACTGTTACTGCGAAAGAAATATTTTATGGATATGTGTGGCGTCTTGAAAAAAGTTGAGAAAAGTTTGAAGTGTTAGACTTGTTTTAGTACACTTCAATATGGGCGCCATATGCAGCTCAGGTAATGCCTAAACCAGTGTCTCTGAATATTTTTTGTGCCATGTTCCATCTAAGCCTTTCTCAAATTATTATGCCTCCTGGGTAATTTAAACTCTGGATGAGTTCATTTTCAAACTGCACCCCCCCCCCCCCCACAAACAAAATGCTCCCTCAACAATCAAATAACCTCTTCCCCTAGCAGATTTTGGCCCAACAATGGGAAACACTGGTTGAGACAGTATTCAATCTCCTGCAACATCTTCTGAGTCATGAGCTGAGTTACAGCTGCGATTACTGCAGTGACCCTCTCTTTAAGGTGGTAGATGTTCTTGTATCTTCTCAACACTGTTTGAAGCCACATTTCACAATCCAATCTTCAGTGCACCAGGGTTTCAAAGGGAAAAAATCCAAGTTTGGACTCATTATGACTGAAAGATGAATACATCCATAGCTCCCCTAACAAGGATGTCGTAAAAGGCAATTAATTAGGGGTTTTCCCTTCAAAGTCAGAGCATGACAGATAAGGAACCAACAGTCTGCATACCAAAAAAAAAAAAAGATCTGTAAAATGGATTTCATGCAAAACTCAAGATCTGGAATAAAACCTAGTCCTAAAGTAGACGAACAATTAGAGCTTTTCAACTGAATTTACAGCTGGTGAATGCGAAAAAAGAAGTAAAAAAGGTTTTAAACAGTAGTGCAAGGACAGTGCGTGTAAGAGACAGGAACCTCGCCAAGTAGCATTACCAATGGTAGCAGCAAATGTACTGCTGCCTAAAGTTTTATTTATATAATAATGGGGGATGGGGAAGGGGTTGGGGGGGGGGGGGGGGGGGGGGGGGGGGGGGGGATAAGAGAGATAAGGAGTGAGTTGCCGGATGGCAAAAGAGAGGAGATCCTGATACCATTTCAAGCAGTCACACATGTAGACTGTTTAAGACTCCATGAATATGCATCAGAAAACTGAAACAGGTAGTATACGCTCAGAATGGGTAGAAAGCATTTAAAATTGCACTTAACCTCACTAACAAGCATGTCATAAGAGTAAAAAAAATTAGCGGTGTTTCCTTCAAAGCAGGAATGCATCCGCCTGAGGGGAGAACAAAGAGTCTGCATAACAATAAGCCAGATCTGTAAAACATCCTGCACACGCAAGCAAAACTCAGGTTTTGGAATGTCCACATGTGGATAAACAACAAAAATTGTCAGCCAGAGTTTACAGCTGGTGATCATCAAGAAGAAGAAATGACATTTACTAAAGAAGAAATGACATTTACTAAAGAAGAATTGACACTTACCAAAGTACTGTTGACATACATGGGACTGATCGGGTACCAAGTTACCATCCTCCATAGCCCCTGTAAAATAAAGAAAATGTTTTACAAACATAATACACCGGTCAAGGCTTTTTAAAAATAACACGTTCTATGAAACGGATAAAATTACAATGAGATACTGATAATGATACAACAAGCCAATGATAATTATACACATATACTATCGGATTCTCTTGTGACTCATTAACTATAATGAGCCAATGACAGTTATACACATATTATACTATTGGATCCACCATGACTCAATGACTACCAAGAAATTCTGATGATATTCATGTTACTGAATTGGACTCTACCACAACTCATTAACTACCATAAGTTACTGACAAAGATACAACCGGATTATATCATAACTATAATGAGTTCATGAAAGAAAAAAAACATACCTTTTACAACCATTGGATTCTACTATGAGTCAGATACCAAGCGTTACTGATAAAAATGTCAGCTATACAAATGGTTTCTACAATGATTTAAATATCATGAATCCCTGACAAAGATAAACACAGGATACCAGCGGATTCTATGATGATTTAAATACGAGTCACTGATAAAATGTGACAGACACAAGTGGATTCTGACTGAAAACAAAATTCTTCAATGATCTTAATACCACAAGCTACTAAAAATAAAAGACACACTATATCATTTAGCTCTACAATGATTTAAGCACTAGAGCCACTGGTGCCAATACTGGGTTCTGCAGTGACTCAAATACCATGAGCAACTGCAATAAAAAAAAACATTACGCCATTTGATTCTACAATGCTTCAGACATCACAAATCACTGATTAAAATCCACATCAGACAACTAAATAATTCCTGTGAATTTGGTCTATTCAAGAGAATCACAAGGACAGAACCCAGTGTGGGTTCCGGGGAACCATTGTGGGGGAAACAAGAACAGACCCACTGACACCCCAACAAGCATGTCAGAGGAACTGACTAACTAGGGACTTCCTTCGAAGCCGGAGTGCATCTGCCTGAGCGGCAAGGAACAACCAACTGCACACAAATAAGCCAGTGAAACGGATGTACATGCAAACTCAAGACACAACCAGGACTTTCCGCTGAAGCTTAAATTCGGTAAACAAAAAAGCAGTAGAAGATAAGAACAGAAATGCTGATTCTGAGTTATAAAAATACTTAACTTTGTGTCATGCACCTCTCTGAAGAAGGAAGGGTAAAAATGAAGTCTCACTGATGAGTATTTTGTGTCTACTGATGATTATATCAATGTTAAATTGATTCTTGTGACATCTCAAGTGGAGATGAAGTGATACTTATACCACAGTTCAGAAGCAACAAAACCTAAACTGCCTGTCACTGGAATTGAACCCAGGTATGTCAAGGACTATAAGATGCATTACTAACCTCTGAGCCACCACTGCATATTTTCAATAGAATATAAAACGTTAACTTACTTGCGTCCACCGCCTCCTCCTCCTCCGCCACCACCTCGTCCTCCACGGCGACCGCCTCCTCCACCACCGCCGCCTCCACCACCACCATAATGCCCATGTCCGCCGCCATATCCCCTGCTGCCAGGGTCGATCATCATCAGCTGGTTCTGTATGGTGCGGTTCAGCTGAGCCTGCATCATCATCATTTCTGCAGCCATATCTTCTGCAGAGAAATGACCTATATAAAAAAAGACACGGACTTTGACCAGCAATCATTTTAAGCACTGCTCGCGTGAATTAGATGGCTAATTCTCTTCAGTGGTTAAGACCTCAGCTTTATCTCTCGTGATCTGGACAATCTTCAGTTCCTCCTGTGAGTTCCGGGGCCCCATTTCAAGGGCAAACAGAACAGATCTGCCACCTCTAACAGACATGTCATTAAGGGCAACAAATTAGGAATTTCCCGAAATCGTGGGTGTGATAGGCCAAAAGATGCAGACATCATAGCCTGATTTGTAAACCAAAACCAGAGTTCGTAGCCAAATTCACTAACCCTTTTGAAGAGTTATTCAAGTTTTTTGAATGGCCACTATGAAGCATGCACAAGACAACTGACCAACCGCCCCTTTCAGAGCAAATACACAAGAACTACAATTATCTACAGTAATTCTGTCAATGAGATTCATCATTAAAAATTCACTTCAGTGTGGGTTTTAAAGGTGGGGGGGGGGGGGGGGGGGGGGGGGGGGGGGGGGGGGCTAATTTTTTTTTAAAGTAACGGACCTTTGCCACGCCAAAGGCGAAGTAAGTGCTAGACTTGTGAGAGCTAGTTCTTCTTGGCCTTCCCCTGCCTCCTGATCTTCCCATTCTCATGTTGTTTCTGACCAGATGGCCATAACATTTCAGTTTTTGTTTTTCAAAAAATGTAATTACAGGTAGTGTTCCCACCATTCTAATGATACTGTTGTTTCTTTAATGGTCTTTTCTTGCTATGGTGACTGCTTTTCTCAAATATCTCATTTCACCTGTCGAAACACCGAACTTAAATGAATCATTACTTTGATATAATGTGGAAATGAACGATGAATGCTTCTATTACAACAACAAAAAAATTGAATCTAGTGTTTTACTAGCATGTTTTACTCCACTTGGGGAGAACAAGTAATAGACCCACTGCCCCTTTACAAGCATATCATAAAATGTAACTAATTAGGCATTATCTGAAATCAGAAGTTGTTGGGCGTAGATATCCCAGCCTAGCTGTAAAGAATAACACAATGCCAATCGCCCACCTGAGGGCCAACATAGAAGAAGAAGAACTATCATGGTGAAAGTGTGTACACAAACTATGGGTGTGAATCATAGGCAATGACAACAGCTTTCAGAAGCCAGCTTCAGAGCTCAGAAATGATTTATCTGAGAAAAGTGGATCAAGTGACAAGAAGAGACAAAGTTCGCAACAAGACAATACATCAAGAGCTTTAAACCCAGGCCTTACAAGTGGGCCAGCAGTTGCGATAGTTTGGACATGTATGAAGGATATGAAAAAATCGGCTTCAATGGCAGCCAAGAACCAGACCTCCAGGGTGACCCAGGGCCCGCTAGGAAAACAACATGTGACTGACAGAGGACTGGAATGGAATAAAGCCAGAAAGAAAACTGTGAACAGAGAAGACTGGCAATCTCTCCGGCAAACCTTTACACCCCAAGGTAGAAGAGCAACTAAGTAAGTACGCACATAAACTGTGTCATAAATCAAACACGTATACTAACCTCCATACCCACCACCATGACCTCCGCGGCCAGCGTATCCTCCATATCCATAGCCACCACCATAACGGTTGCCTCCTCTCCAGCCACCAGGCGCACTCCTTTTAGCTGGTGGTTCCCCGTGACCACGTTTGCCACCACCACCACCACCGCCGACATGCTGGTTTCGTCTGGCGTTGATAATCTGTTGCTGCTGGGTCAACGTGCGCTTCAGCGAGCGGGAGGCTTGGTTCTTTTCATTTTTACGCAGGTCTGACCTGTCAGCAACCAATATTGGAGCCTCCTCCAGCTCTTCAAGAGGTTTCATCGTTTTCTCCAGTTCTGCTTTTGAACCTATTTCAGTTGTAGAAACAAATAAGAATGAGGCCACAGTTTAATTAATGATTTAATTCAATTAATTCAAGTACATGATTCTTCATTGTTTACTTCTGAACTTTGGTTTTGTTCCAGGGCCTAAGTGCTGCATGAACATCTATTTTACAGATCTGGTGGACAGACTGTTGGCTCCGTGTCTCTCAGGCAGACGCACTGAGTCTTCAAAGGAAACATAGATCCTATCTATACTGCCAGGCCCCGGGTTGTGAACCTGTTCCTAGCATGACCACATATATGTGTTGATGGGTTGTGACCAGTATCAGCCCTGATCCCAGTGCACCACCATGTGGATGATAACCTCTGTATCCTAAAGAAACTCCCTTGTTAAAGATTTATTTTAAAAAAAAAATTCAGGGTCTCCGTGGTAAAGTAGTCAAGCCGTTTGCCTCACATTCTGAAGGTCGTAAGATTTTTTTTTTTTTTTACTATGAACAGAGTTCGTGCTCTATGCGGCGCTCTTGGCAGTCAGATAGCCGTTCTGCAGAGAGAGACAGAGCCCTATGGGATAAAACTCAGTGTAATGAAGTTGCTCCTCTTGGCTATAACCTTTTCAATTAAGAATAGGAAAGAACACTACAGAGATAAGTAACTTAGAAAGTACGTCTGAACACTTTCTTCATTTACTGGAGTGAGATTTGCGTGGAGATTTGTCACTTGGGTATCAAAGTACACTTCCCATTGGGATTGATAAAATATAAAAGTAGAAGTGACTTGGGGTTACTACTACTCCCAGTGTATATAAATGGAGCAGAAATAGGTCAGATGGTATGGATGAACCGATTCCCAATTGTTTCTATAAGTGTCCCTTTGTGGATGATCCGATTCCCAATTGTTTCTATAAGTGTCCCTTTGTGGATGATCCGATTCCCAATTGTTTCTTCACAAGTATTCCTTTGCGGATGAACCGATTCCCAATTGTTTCTATAAGTGTCCCTTTGTGGATGATCCGATTCCCAATTGTTTCTTCACAAGTATTCCTTTGCGGATGAACCAATTCCCAATTGTTTCTATAAGTGTCCCTTTGTGGATGATCCGATTCCCACAATTGTTTCTTCACAAGTATTCCTTTGCGGATGATCAAATTCTCACTTATTTCTATTGATTTGTAAATAAGGCAGTGATATTCTTCCACCTTTCCATGCCAATTTGTCAGCCTCTTCGGAGCAAATTAAAGCAAGACTAAACACACAAAACTGGCGACTAGCTCACACAAGGTAGAAAGCCACATTTGAAGAAAAGGAAAAAAAAAAAACTCACTCTGCTCATTTTCCACAGGTTCCTTATTCTGCAGTGCCAACACATGAGTACCATTGATGACAATTGTGACATAAGCCTTCCTGAAGATGAGCACATCCGTTTTTGAGTGGGCCTCTACTAACCCAATCCTGAGGAAAGGAATTTAGTGAGGGTATTTAGGGAACAGGCAGCAGCATATCACCTCAGAAATATACAACTTGTTATAAAAACAGATTAGAATCAATCTCTGAAGATCATACATTCTCTGTCAACTGTTTCAAGTCTCCTCTTAATAATTAATCTAGCTTTAAAAAAAACAACTAATGTGGAAGCCATCATGGTGTAGCAGCTAGATGCTCGCCTGCGGACTGGAAGGTCGTGGGCTGGGGTCCAGACAAAGCCAGACTTTCTTGAAAAGAATTCATGACCTTGGCTGCCAAGTCAACCCAGCCTTGAGTGGGTAATGCGCCTAAAGGTGTGAAAATGGATCTTTACTACTTTACTTACATGGCTTATAACAAAATGAGAAAATGGTATTAGATGTACTTTTTTTTTTTAAATTACTGGCTAAATAATGAAAGAAAATGTTTTTTAAAAGGCTCGTCCATCCCAAAGCTGAAATTGGGCAGCAAAAGAACAACTACAATAAGTCAATATTTAATTCATAGAGGTAAGAACAGGACACATCCAACATTGTCCCACTTGTTTCATTTCTTGCATTATATCATGCTCACAGCCTAATGTTCAACAACAGCAGCAAAAAAAAAAAAACACAAATGAAATTATACACATTAAAATACTAGATAACCTAATCAAAATGATTATCACCATTCAATGATAGGAATAATAGTCAGGGAAATATAGTTAAAAGTCTGAGTTCTGCATTCTTTAAGAAACTGTCAAGCGCAGGGAAGAGGGGAGGGTGTTAAGGCTTTTTTCCACAACCTGAGGTGTTCTGCATATAATTTTTAGCTATATTTTTATATGTAATCAGCTGGACATATGCTATTTCTTGCATTATAATTATATAACTGCCAGTGAACCACACTCCTTTATAGGTTGGTTAAGCAATTACTCCCTCCACAAAGTCAACTTATACATGAAAGAATTATTTTATGTTTCTTTCTGTGATATAAACACTAAAAGATGCTTGTTGGTTTTAAAATCACATACATGAAAATCATATTTTGTTTTCTCTTCAATCTGTCTGAGTATATAACTATAGTTCTGTCCCTTTTTTCCCCATTAAAATTGGTGTCCAAAACATTCTAAAATATAAAATAAAAATTTAAACGTAGGTCACTTTCCATACTTTGACGCATCAGATATATACTGTTAGACCCATATTTATAGATCACTCAGCACTCAATAAGTGATTTTGTCAACTTAATCTGGTCGCCTTTACTTATCAGGACATTACCTGGTACTTTAGGTTGGGTCAATCTGAGAGCCAAGGTCAATTTGGAAAAACAATACAGCAATAAATTGTAAAAAAATTAATTGGTGTGTAGTTTTCAGAACTTTGGCTGATGAGATAATATTAAAGAATTCTCTATACAACTCTGACAATGAATGTTAGCCAACATGTGACCAATGATAAGACATTTATGAGCAGTTCTTCTTCTAAGCGTTCACCAGCTGTACACTTTAGCAGAAAGTCCTAGATGTTCATTCACTCCTTGTCTTTGGTATTGAGCCAAACTTTCGATTTTTTTTTCACGCACATCCATTTGAGAGAAATGGCTAATTAGTATGCAGCCTACTGGTTTCTCTCTAGGATTTTTTTTACACCTGTGGTTACTTCCTGCTTCTTAGTGTTTACCGGTTGCAAACTCCTTTGGAAAGTTCCTGTTGTTCATCCACTACTTGTTCTAGAGTTTTTAATGCACATTTGTTTACAGTTCTGTCTCATTTGTAAGATGGTTCCTTGTCTCTTAGGCAGATGCCTCCCTTCAAAGGAAACACCCCCAATTAGTCACCTCCTATGACACGCTTGCTAGGAGAGCAATGGGTCTATTCTATGTTCTCCAAACTGGAGCCATGGAACCCACATCAGAATAAAGCAGTTCAGTATTTACTTACCACAACCAAGCCTGAAATTAACATTACATGATTCACAAGAACAACAAAAACAAACACATTTGATAGGAAGTGAGTTCAAAAGTAACCTTCCATTTCGTTTGCTTGATATATTTTTATGTATACAGAGGACTTTATAGATCGATCTATCTTATTAACTTGCACAGAATGCACAATAAACCAAAGTATACTACTGCCACTTTACAAGCCATTCTAATGTCATTACAAGCTTGTGAAAGCCAAAGCTGTGAATACAGCTGTATGTTTTCAAATAATCACACAAAAATGCAGACTGATACAACTTGGCAGTAACTTGTATCTGGTAGTTTGAAACAAAAAACAAAGCCTAATAAGGCCCAGTGTGAAAAAACATAGCCTAATAAGGCCCAGTGTGTGATCTGCCTGGCTGTCCATGTTCATGCTGGCAGATCACCAGGCGGGAAGACATGCAGACGTGCTGCATGTGCTCCTCCATTACTCACCGCAAATTGTCATGCGTTTGTACTTCAGTGCTTTGTGAGAGCGGAAAGAGAACACGAAGGATCTCTGGGCTTGTGATTTCTGACAAATATCGTACCCAGAGTCTTCGCCGTTTCAGGCCTCCTGTGAAGAAGATTTGTAGGTCAATATTTGAAATATGGAACTTATGAGGTCTAGTCAAACTAGACCTCTAGGCATCCTTGCCTAAATTAATCACATACAAAATATAGACAAGAGTTGGAAAAAATTACCTAACATCAAATGGCACCTAAAAATGCCATCTCTTTTCTTCACAGGTTAGGCACTCCTGCCCACATTAAAAACACAGACAAAACACGAAAAAATTATCTATCAAAAGTTGGCTCCTTTCATCACAGGCTAATTCTGGTTTTATATCCCTTCTTTCTCACTCTTTTTTTTAAAGTTAGCAGCCAATATATAACTTGTACTATTTGAACAAAATATGATACACTAAAATGATTTTTGTGGACCAAACTGTGGCAATATCTAACATTCACTTTCAATTATAAATGCCCAAAGGACTTTATAAGTTAAAAAATATATATATATATTTATATATATAAACATTTCTTATATTAGAGACTGACTGAAAAGGAAGCAAAGAACCCATTTATTTAACACAGTATATTCAAACATTATTATGGAACTTACCCCTGGAAGTGGCTGTGTTTTTAACCCTTTCACATTTGGTTGAATCCAACACAATGGTCGCTGTAAATAAAGAAATATGCATATAAACATCAACCTAATAGTAAGTTCACAAGGTGTAAACTCTGTTAGAAAGTTCTTGTTCGTTCGTTTATTCCTTGACTTTGGTCTTGTTCCTGAACTAGAGTTTTGTTTGCACATCCATTTTACAGATCTGGATTATTTGTATGCAGACTGTTGGTTCTTCACCTCTCAGGCAGATTCACTCCGACATCAAATGGAACACTCACTTTTTGCCTCAAATGACATGCTTGTTAGGGAGGCAGTGTGTCTATCTCTGCCAACCCAAATGGGACTCCCGAACACACATGGATACAGTAAATATATAAAACGTTGTTGAAACTAGAAGTTTGAGCCCTAGCATAGAAAGATCATTATTGCAATTCCGCTGGCATTGATCTCCGACAAGATGCTGTGAAATATAAGTTTTTAAAAAAAAAGTAAAGATCTCTTTTCCATGCCTTCAGGCATATTGGGCACATAAGGCTAGACCTATATTTTATACACCAATCAGCACTGGGGGGGAGGGGGGGGGGGGGGGGGAATGTGCTCAACATTATGCCGGCCGCCTTTAATTCCCAGGACTCTACCTGGTACCTCATTTAAGGCGGGGTCAATTTGGGAGCCAACGTGATTTTTGAAAAAAGTCAAACTCCTTGAGATTCTGAACCCATGACAATTAGATTTGCAAATGAACATCAAGATGCCACACCACAGCGGCTTCAGTAGTTAAGTATGTCAGGTGATGCACCACGCTATCATGATTAAAATTCACAATGAGAAAACACTGAACTATATAGAAATCACTCATTTAAACACAGAATTACATTCTTCCATGACTATAAAATCTATGATGACCCGACAAGGGGAAACAGAAGTGACAAAAAGTGCAGTGGAATAAAATACCTGTCTCCTCAATCTTTGTGTATGGTGAATCTACCACTAGTGGATCTTCCTGACCGCGACGGTTAATTTCAATGGTGACGTACTGATGGTAGAACGGCATGCGTACCACTCGGGACATAACAGCATGGGCTTCATTGGTTGAGACCATGCACAGCTCAGCAAGTCTGCAGAGTAAACCTCAATATATCATCACAGTAAACCTCAACATATCGGTAAACCTCAAAATATCAGTAAACCTCAATATATCATCACATTAAACCTCAATATATCAGTAAACCTCAACATATCAGTAAACCTCAATATATCATCACAGTAAACCTCAACATATCAGTAAACCTCAATATATCATCACAGTAAACCTCAATATATCATCACAGTAAACCTCAATATATCATCACAGTAAACCTCAACATATCGGTAAACCTCAAAATATCAGTAAACCTCAATATATCATCACATTAAACCTCAATATATCAGTAAACCTCAACATATCAGTAAACCTCAATATATCATCACAGTAAACCTCAACATATCAGTAAACCTCAATATATCATCACAGTAAACCTCAATATATCATCACAGTAAACCTCAATATATCATCACAGTAAACCTCAATATATATCATCAAATCCCCACCCAGCAAACACACAATTTTACATTATATAAATATGTCCCAGTGTGGGTTCCAGGGCACCATTGAGGAACCGACCCACTGCCTCTCCAACAAGCAGGTTGCAGGAGTCAACTAACTGAGGACTTCTTGTGAAGTCAGAGTGCATCTGCCCGATCAGCCACAAACAACTATATGCATACAAATAAGCCAGTAAAACGGATGTACACGCAAAATTCAAGCCCTGGCACAAAGCGGAATTCCAAATGGATGAAAACCAGAACTTTTTTGCCGGAGCTTACAGCCAGTGAACAAAGAAAAAGAGTTTGTTAATATTTTTTTGGAGAGGGGGGGGGGGGTTGCCATCTGCACATGTTCTTGAGGACCTTCTTTCTTGTTATTCACAAACCTAACGCATCCAGCTCATATTATCTTCAAATTCTTACTGCTATAAGGTTTACCTCAACTGTTGGGGTTTTTTTTGTATATGGCACATATTTTTGTCACTTACTCTGACTGCTTTATTCTTATGTTTTGTTTTCACCACAGTTGTGTCCTGGAACCCACAAAAGGAAATTAACAAACAAACAACACAATCAGGGAAGAAATCCTAGCAAAAGTTTAAAAAAAAAAAAAAAAAAACTGCTAAGCACAGTAACAACATTATTGTCTCCTACATACCCCTGGCCATTTTTGCGCTTTGGAACATAATACCAGGCTTCCTGTGAGATCTTTGTGGCTGCATCCAGGATACAATTCCTGGCATCCTCTTGATCAATAGGAAATATCCTCATATGCCACATCCAGCGTTCTAGAAAGACAGTTTAACAGGTATAGTTGACTGTTAAAAACGATTAATGTCAACAACATATTCCTTCAACGAATGAATCAAGAATTGACACTCCGGAATATTCCCACACATGCTCTGTCCTCTTCCTCAGCAGCGTCTGCTTCTTCTTAGAATTCACCAGCTGATTCTGGTTGTTTACCCACTTCTGGACTCTAGTTTTATTCCAGAAAATGAATTTTGTGGGCACATCCATTTACAGACCTGTTAATTTGTATGCAGACGGCTGCAATATTTAGAAGTTGTGCATGTGTGTGTGTGTACATATATCAAAGAAGGATGTTCGCAATGAAGTCACACTTGCTTTTCAGTCTTATTTCTTCTTGGCATGCTAAGCATCTCCCTTTGTAATTAACAACATCTTTTGTGTTTGGTTTCTGTTTAGAGTGCTGCTGCTGGTGGTGGTGGTGCTGGTGGTGGTGGTGGGGGAACACTAATTTCTCCCTTGCCTCAAAATATCAACATTTTGAAGTTTTGTATGTGTGAAAAAGGATATTCACAACTAAGAAATAAAAGCAGTTTTTTTTTTAACCCTTTAAGTTCCACAAGACTGTAACAAATACCCAAGAAGATAATGAACAAGAACACATAAAATCACTTCACTGATGTACTATTATTGTATAGTTGATATACATGAAGAACATATCACATACTCCCCGTGTGGGTTCTGGGGCCCCATTATGGGGAAAAACTAGAATAGACCCACTGCTTCTGTAACAAGCATGTCATAAGAGCTGACTAATTAGAAGTTTCATTTGAAGTCGGAGTGCACCTGCAGAAGAGGCAAAGAACCAACAGTGTGCATACAAAAAAGACATCTGTAAAACAGATGTGCGGGCAAAACTTAGTTTCTGGAACAAGACTAAAGTCCAGAAGTGGATGAATAACCAGAACTTTCCGCTAGAGTATACAGCTGGTGAATGTGAAGAGGAAGTAGCTAGACATGACAGTTGATAAATATAAAATGATAGATCATATATGATTTATTGTGATGAAATAAAACCTTTAACCTTTGTAACCCACCCCACAACAATGTAAAACAAACCCTTAACCTTTGTAACTTAGCCCACAACAATGTAAAACAAACCCTTAACCTTTGTAACTTAGCCCACAACAATGTAAAACAAACCCTTAACCTTTGTAACTTAGCCCACAACAATGTAAAACAAACCCTTAACCTTTGTTACCTACCCCACAACAATGCAAAACAAACCCTTAACCTTTGTTACCTATCCCACAACAATGTAAAACAAACCCTTAACCTTTGTTACCTACCCCACAACAATGCAAAACAAACCCTTAACCTTTGTTACCTACCCCACAACAATGTAAAACAAACCCTTAACCTTTGTAACCTACCCCACAACAATGTAAAACAAAGTTACCTCTCATCTGTTCCAATGGCCATTCTGGAACAGGATGGGGTGAATAGCGTGTGACTGCCTGGGCCTCTCTGTGTTCTTGTTCGTGCTCTTCCTCAGTTTTTGCAGTCTCATCTGCATCACCAGTAGCCTCACAATCAGCATCTTCCCCTTGCATCTCTGCGTTATCATCCTCTCCTTCGTTCAACTCCTCCTTAACCTCCATACTGACCATTTCCTCTTCCATGTTGATGATTCCTTATAATGAAAGATAATTTTGCTGCATTTAAATATGGCATGAAAATGCATGCATTCTCAAATTATGCATGACAATGATTTTTGTTATAACACTGGGAAAAAAACAGTCTAACACCTAACTGTCTTTATGGCAGCCGCTGTGGTGTAGCGGCCAGAGACTCGCCTGCAGATTAGAAATATTGTGGGTTTAGGTGCTGAGGGAGCCAGATTTTTTTTTTCTAAATGACCTTGGCTGCCAGGTCGACCTTATTTTTAGGGAAGTCAAAGGGACAAAGGGTCTTGAGCCTGAGGGTGGGGAAACCTTTTTTTTTTTTTTTTTTTTTTTTGGTCTGCAGCGCAAACTGAAAATTACCAACCTGGTCGCTGGCCACCTAGAAAAAAATAACATAACACCCAGATTTTCTCATATCAAGATGATTTTGTGGGATAATTTAAAGATTATAATCCATCACTATGCCTCTGGCCAGACACATTCAACCACTTAGGTCCAACATGTTCCTCAAATATGTCTGTTCAAGTTGGTTATTTGCAGAAATAATACTATTTAGGAAAAATTAACAGCAACTATGGGGTAGGTGGGGGAGGTAAAATGATAGTGGGTTACGAGAGTGAAAAATGAGTCCAATAGACAGAGACGGATTTTTCTGCATTCTAATGTTTTTTTGTGTGTTCTGCTATTTTGTGAGCTCAAAGTCTGGATAATATAGTAATTACACCAAATAAATCTGCAAACACCCTTGGTAATGGGAGACAATAATGCACAGGACTGCTGGTCAGTAAAGTGTTATGGGTAAAAAACAACAGAAGAATATGACTACCTATTTTTTTTATAAATTTATTGAAGATGCATAGTTATTTTCTTTAATTTTCCTTTTCAATTCAGTATCACAGGAACTGCTTGAAGAAGCTGTGTCAGGGCACCTGTCCAGATTCAATCCACAGCAGACTCAGGATTATCTAACATTCACTTTTTCAACTAATAAACTTCTGTGAGAACTTGGCTTATGTTGACCGTTCTCGCCGCCGTTTCTTCTCCAGTTTTGATGTTGCAAGATTGTGGAAGTCCGGTTTGCAGCCGGAGCTACTGAGCTTAATGCTCCTGGCGGCACTATAAGCTGTGATTATCAGTTATTGACTGAGTTCCAGATTCGTACATAACGGCAATGATGGGTGATGCATTTTTCTTTGTTGTGTTCCTGGGACAAGGTGTGTGCTATATCTCCTATTTATTTGCTGGCCGTGGCTGAAACTTGGCCGAGGACATGTGGGGAATGGTCAAGAATAGTTTTAATCTACTCATCGCCCAGTTATTCATCGAATAAAGTTGATTTTCAGCGATGATGCCTGGTCTTGCAGTGTGTTTAAGGAGCCATGCGCCTTATGGTTTGCCAGATCAATTTGTGTGTGTACTTAAAGAATCCAGTGTATCTAACTCAGTTTGTGACTGGAATCACTGGCATAGACAGTTGAGCAATTATGGGCCAAGCTCGTTTGCTGTGATGTCAGAACCGTAACAAATAAGTAAATAAACTCAGGTTTCATTTTCTATTTCCCAATTTCAACATGTAATTTTGAAGGATTCTGAGTTATTCCCCCCATAAAAATGCCCCTGATTCTTAAGGGCCTTGAAGCCTTAAGTTGTTACACACAAATAAAAAGCCAGATCTGTAAAACAGATGTGCACAACAAGACAAAAAGCTAAGAAGAAAACCAGGAGGAATGAGCAGAGCTTTCAGCTGGAGTTACTAATAATATGACAGATGACATTGTAGTCGGTGAAATATTTTGAAAATCAGTTGGTTTTTTTTTAAAGTCATTTTGCTTACTAGAATTTAAATGCAAGTAAGCAAAATAACTTTTTTTTTCCTTTCTTTAAAATTACTCATCTGCTCAAAGTGCATAAAGTGGAATATTAATTACTGTCTTTCTCTACATATAAATTTCATTATCTTCACAAACACCACATATAAACTTTACAGTATTTTATATTAATTAATATTATTACACATACACACCTGCTTTGGCTTTAGATTAGTTAGTTGGTATAGTAATTAACTCTTTGAGTCCCAAGGAACGCATCATTCGTTCATAGATTCCTACCTAGAAGCGCAAACAAGATGCGCCGATTTTACTTCTCTCTTGACTACCCCTTGGGCCTGTGATGCTTTTTTTTTTTTTTTACGTATCCAGAAACCATGAGTTGTAAACCCTTTGGCTCGGTACTATGCATATCGCAACCCTTCGGCCTTGATTCCATTATAGGTACCGTTAATCTGGGAGAAATGTGGCTTTTCTGCCTACCCCCGGGAGTGAACCCGGACCACAAGGAGTTCGTCACCCGGCCACCGCGAAAGTCAGGTTTAACCAACTTTGCTAGAGAGCCGGCCCCTGGGACTCAAAGAGTTAAGTTTTTTCTTTTTTTTATTACTTACACTGGCTGGTAACAATTATTACAAATAATAAAATCATGAATAGTTAAAGTATTTGGATTGTTCTCTTAACCTTAACTTCTTTATTTTGCTTAAATATTAATTTGAATTTAAAACCAAAAGGCGAATTCATTCACTGAATGAATTAAAACAGTACCATCCATGCAGTTTAAGTACGCGGAGGTATGGCGGCGTTCAAAATCAGCTAGTCACAGAGTCATTCATACTTATCACACTTATGAGCTTCTACTTGTACCTATCCGATTCTGAAATCAATGACATTTGAGAAAACATTATATCATAAAATAATTTTGCAAAGTTACATATTTGAATACACGTTATGCTCCAAACGTTAGAATTACGTTAAATTGGGTTAAACTCAAACTGCTGTCAGTCCAGGGTTTGTCAAGTTTGTGTGTGATGTGTGAACTTCAATCGGTGAAAATACGATAATTTCATATTTTACAACAAACTATCAGGTGTTTTAATGCATTTCCCTATTCGTTTTAAAGCAAAAGTAATCTTCAGTAACGTAAATTAATAAGAATATAATCTTGTTAAGAATTGCATTTTTTCTTCCATTAAACTTACTTTTCACAAAATCTCTTCCCTATGGTAAGGATTTATTAATGAATCATGGCGTCTTACCGTGCAGGGGCTGTAACCCATGAAAACTTCGTCGTTTTTTAGTTTTTTTTTTAGTTTCGCTCATTAACTAGCAATTTTCTCAACAAAATTTTCTCAACAAACTGTACAACACAATTAAAGAAAGATGTATTACTGATAAACATATTTATGAAATTTCTGCATTTTATAAAAGTTGTGAAGAGGGAAAATAGAACATGTTGTGACCACTGGAAAGATCTGTGGAAGGAGGGATAGAGGAAGACAACGAGAGAAGATGCTTGACAGTCTTGTTGCATGGCATGGAGGTGTGTCGGCACACGAACTGATACATGCTGCAGGAGATCGCGGATTATGGAGAGGCATGATCACCCACGCCACTCGGCAAGGCACCTGATGATGATGATGAAGTTTCATATACATTTAAATGAAGCATGTATAAACAGAATCCAAAAGGAAATTTTGCGAATGTATCATACTTTTTTCCACACTAAGCAAATTTACAATGGGAATACAAGTGTTTAATTAAATAATGATATACCATATTATTCACGTAAACGAATGTCGTCCCCTTGTGAGATGCAATTTTTCATTATTTTGAAGCCCCCACCCCGGCTTTTTCTGGAGGCCGTAAAATAACCTAATGGTTAAACGCAGTTTCTGGGACCTCTCCACGGGTGATCCTCATCCACATAGTGGCACCTTGTATCATCGGATGTTTATCGCTCTGTGTGATGTCCTGGTGGGGTAAAATTTACTTACTACAATGATAGAACACTGAAATTATGTGAGAGAAAATGGGGGGGGGGGGGGGGGGAGACAGAGGAGATTCTTGACAACCTTTTTATTATTTCATGGAGAGGTGTTAGCTAATAAAGGGAGACATGCTGTTAATGATTGCAAGGTATAAAGAAGCTTGATCACCCAAGCCAGTTGATAGGGGTTTTTAATTATTTTAATCAAATGCATGGCTTTCCAGATTATTTTTAGTCCAATGCTCAGCAATTTTATACGTGTGTGTGTTTGTGTATATATATATTAATCACTCCCCCCCCCCTCCCCCAGCCCGTAATCCACACATGGATTACTTTACATTCTTCTTCTTCTTATATAGTTTGTTATCATAATCGACTTCATTGCATATTGAGCATTCCCATCGATCTCAGTACGAAGATCTTGGGCTTGATAAATTTAGGCAAGAAGAGGAGTGGGTCCAAGTGTCCGAGCAAGAATCAGATTTGTGTAGGGTTCTTATTACTTTCGTGAGGTCGTGAGTGCATGGACTGGCCAGCTGGTGCTGCAGAATCAGAAGTTCAACATATGATTCATGACAATTCCTGCCCAGGTGGTATTATTATTTGTACAGATGTCTGTGTTTAGAGGCAGACGAAATACACTGGAGTTTATCGCAAAAACGAATGGGCGTCGCTTAGTGCAGCAAAGCCTAGCATATTATATACAACGTCTAATTTGAGAATGGAGGTGGAGGCAGTAACTGCTGCCTTTCCGCTGGCTTGAGAATCATCTGTACACACATGCCATAAATGTAACTGACTCACAGAGCATGTTGAGAAAGATGCAGACACGCATGCTCCGGGCAGAGTGGCTAGCATCGTTTCAGCGGTTCCGGGTAGTTAGCGTTCTCTTGATTTTTGATCGAGGTTATGCGGCTGTGTTGGGAAACAAGAAGGCAGACAGACTCGCCGGTTCTGCACCAACTGGTGCTGAACTGATGTATGACTAGCTAGATGTTGTGAGTGCCCTTTTAGAGCGAGTGAACAGAGCGGAGGCACAACTAGATTATTAAGGTCTGAGGAGAATGGCATGACAAGGAGTTATCTGGGAATCTGGCCGACGCTCTAGGTAAAGGCGAGATGATATACAATCAGACAGTTACTGGGGCAATAGGACTTGGAGCTTTTCGCGTGCTGCTGAA